AAATTAACCAAGTCCCTATTGCTCAACGCACAGTGGACAATGTCTGTAGACTTTTAATTGAAGAAGAGGCATTCATGCTAGCTACTCCACACTTGAGAGGACCACCCGCATCAAGAGCTCCAGCTAGGCGCCCCTTCCGAGGAAGGACCTACGCTCCAAGGACGCCAAGATGCTACACCTGCAATCGTGTGGGACATGCCACCCGGGATTGTCCCCAACGAGTTCCAGCTCCCGTCACGTACCAGCCAGAGGAACAGATTCCAGAGGCAGAGGCAGAGGCGGAAGACAAGGTCGTCGTGGTCCCCGGCGTGATCCACAAACTCCACTCGCCACATTGGCTTTAACCAATGATCCACAACCTCAACCAGAGTACGACAGACGACTCCTGTGGACTTTGGACAGTGGTGCAGCATTGCATGTTACCTACAGAAAGGAACTTTTCACAGAGATGCACGAGCCTGAACCTGAGCTACGTGAACTTTATTCTTTTTCAAATCATTCTTGCCAGGTCAAAGGAAAAGGAACTGTTTATGTTGAAGAGCTCGATGCATTCATTCCTGATGTTTATTACATACCAACAGCAACCAGTAATTTGCTTAGTCAGAGTCACTTGTCTAGAACATTAAAGTTCCAAGTTCACCACCTTGAAAAAGCAAGTTACATAGTTAAAGATGGAGATATTGTTGCTGAAACCATATTAATTGGTGGTGTTTATTACTTAAAGCCAAAGCCTAAAACACAAACACAGGCAAGTATGCAAACTCCAAAAAGGGAATGCACAGGCCCAGAGAGAGATGCTCCAGTGAGAGATCCTGTTGCTATTCCTAAGGCTCCTAAAGCCAACAAAAATAGAATTGGTAAACAGGTTGCTCAGAGCAAGCCTGAGGTTCCGCATAAAAATGTTAATGTTGAGAATTCACTAACAGGAAAACCTTTGCATTCCAGGTGTATCCACAAATGGCATAGAAGATTGGGGCATGCCAGTTTCCGTGTTCTTAGGAAGATGCCGGAATTCGCAAAAGGTTTGGATCTAAAGGGGTGTAAGGTGTTTTTGGATTGTGCTGTATGCAAGAAGGCCAAATCCAAAGCAGCAGCCATTCCCAAACACGCTACACGCCTGTCAACACGCATTTTTGATTTGGTTCACATTGACATAGTTGGTCCTTTCCCACCATCATTTGGTGGTAGTAGAAAATATTTTCTAACAATTGTTGATAATTACTCTAGATATGGATATGTATATCCTATGAAAGAAAAATCAGAGACTTTTCAGATCTTTAAAGACTTTGCAACCCTTGTTTCTACCCAACACCAAGTTCGCATCGCCAGAATCCAGAGTGATCGTGGTGCCGAGTTCATGTCTCAGCGTTTCCAGGACTGGATGCGTAAGAATAGAATTATTCATCAGACTTCACCCCCTGACATACCGGCTCACAACGGAGAGGTACTGCAAACCATGATGCGTTGTCTCCTAGAAGACGCCAACCTTGGTAAGATATACTGGGGTGAAGCTATCAAGTATGCAAATTACATTGTCTACCGTACTTGGAGCAGTGTAACAAATCAGACTCCTTTCTTCATGTTGTATGGCTACAAGCCTGATCTTAAAAACATCCATATTTTTGGTTCATATGCTATGGTGAACATTCCCTTAGCTCAAAGAAGAAAAGGAAGTCCAGCAGCAAAGAGACTGAGATTTATGGGTATTGATGATAATTCAAAGTGGAGCAAATTTATTGACTCTAAACATGTAATTGTGATTTCCCAATCTGCTAATTTTGAGGAAGATATTGACTGGTCCAGGATTCATTCCAATGATCCTGGAGTTTATTTTCCCAGAGATGATACTGCTGATGTTACGCAGATTGATGATCAAGATTCCACTGATTCTTCTCAACCCGATGTTCCGTCTTCGCAAGCTGCGGATGCTGACGCTAGCGACGAAAGTGAGGACGAGGACGAAGAAGAAGAAGACTGGACAGTTGTTCCGAGACGTTCCAAGAGGGCCACAAAAGGGATCCCTCCACAACGATATTCTTGGCAACTGACAAAAGCACCCTTGCCTTTGATTTGCAATGTTACACTTCCACCTGATAATTTCACACAAATCAAGCAGCTCCCTGATTCAGAGCAAGACAAATGGTATGAAGCAATGCAGGTTGAAATGGACAGTCTAAAGAAACTTAAGGTATTTACACCTGCAAAACCTCCAGCAAACAAAAAGGTCATTGGCACTCGATGGGTCTACAGAATCAAAAAGAAACCAAATGGTGAGTCACTGTACAAGGCCAGACTTGTAGCTCAGGGTTTCGCTCAACGTTATCCTGAGGACTACACAAATACTTACTCACCGACAGTCAGAACTGAGAGTGTAAAAATTGCTTTAGCAACTGCAACTATCCTTGGTTTAGAAGTTTTCCAATTTGATGTTGACACGGCTTATCTACATGCAGACCTAGACGAAGAGATCTACGTGAGAAGTCCTCCAGGATTCGACAGCAAGAAGGGGATACCTGGTTCCTAAACAAAAGTCTTTATGGTCTGAAACAATCTGGTTTAATGTGGTATTTATGTCTTACTGACAAACTAAATTCCATGGGCTTTATTAAGTCCGAAACTGATGAGTGCGTGTTCACAAAAAGATCTAACAATGCATATGAGATAGTTCTTGTTTATGTTGATGATATTGTTTATATTGGTCCAAATAAGCAAATGAGTGAAATTTTTGCCAAAGCTTTGCAGAGATACTTCACATTGAAATCATTAGGTCACATTAGCACTTATTTAGGTGTTCAGATTGAAAAGACACAGAAGGGGTTTAGTCTTTCACAAGAAGATAAAATTGAACAAGTTTTGCATCATTGCAACATGAAAGATGCTAACACAACAAAGACACCCATGCAAACAGATTTTCACAACTTGACACAAGAAGAAAGTCCTGAGTTCAAGGATCAAACACTTTATCGTTCAGTCATAGGGTCACTATTGTACATTAGTAGTTGGACCAGACCCGACATTGCACTTAGTGTTAATCTTTTATCTCGACACGTAGGGAAAGCAAAACAGTTTCACTGGACATGTATTAAGAAATTATTGAGATACCTAAAATACACCAAACACATGAAGTTATTGTTAGAACCAACACATACTGATTATGCAGAATTATGTTGTTATGCAGATTCTGATTGGGCAAGTGATAAGAAATCACGTAAAAGTACTTCAGGTTATATGATGTTCTTAAATGGATGTCCTGTTTATTGGCAAGTACGTAAACAGAATTTTGTTTCTTGTTCATCTACTGAAGCTGAATATGCTTGTGTTTCAGATGCATGTAATTCCCTAACTTGGTTTGATGCTTTAGTCACAGATATCTGGACACACCCGATCCGACCGATCACAGTGATGGAAGACAATGAATCGGTGGTTTATATTTCTGAATCTCATTTCACAGGTTCTAGGTCCAGACACATTGACATCCGTTATCAAAACATAAAACATTTAGTGAAGAAAGGTTTTGTCAAAATGCAATATGTATCTACACATGATCAAATTGCTGATATGCTCAACAAACCACTTCCAGCAGCTCAACACGAGTATCTGCGTGAGAAGATGTGCCTTATTTGATGATGTACTGATATTCGCTCAACTGGCAAAGAAGGGGAATGTCACTGCGTTATTTTATTTGCCAGCTGAACTCATCATTTCTGGACTGTCAGACTCTCCGTAGCTTTGCCAACTTCTTATCAGTAAGCTACGTGTTTCCGTATCCACCCACATTCCTTCACTTGCTCTTCACACACTTCTTTCCTTTGTTCTCTTGCCAGAGGTCCGGCTCAGATAGCCGGCAAGAATTACTTTCAAAAATGTAACAATTAACTTTTCTTAGTTAGTGAGGTGTTTTATTTTCTTTATAACAAATAAATGAGTTTTATTAGAAACCTTCTTCGCGTTTTCTTTATCAGAATAGTGCAACTTGGAATAAGCCTCGATTCATCTACTCTAAACCAGGGGTAATTAGTCCCAGAGCCAAACATGGGATTAATAAATGCCCTGACACAAGTGTTGCCTCAGTCTGGATCCAAAAATGCAAGGGTAGAGTAGTGCTTGTTTATTAGGAGAGCCCTGTTCCACATATGACTGGATGTAAGGCCATCTTTGAGTAATTGGGCCAGTGGGAAAAACTAGAAGTGTTTCTCTTGTACCTTCTATTCAAATGTAGAGTGGCATGCCTGCTGAGGCTGGTAGTTTGTATGTTTAGGCTGTTGATTCTAGATTGATACTACAAACCTACACTTTGGTTGTAAGAATGATGAAGCCAAATTGTTTCTCTATTCTTACTGAAGCTGTAAAATGCCATCTGGCAACAATTTTTAGACAAATAAAAAACAGCAAACAGGCTGCAATATAGTGCTGTGGATAAAATTACTTGCATTCTTTTGGAGTTGCAAACTGGCTGCACTTCAGAGACTGAAGACATGCCAAATATGATCTCTTGTTAAGTTACCTGGAAAGAAATTGAACCTGTTGATCCTGAAGAAGTGGGAAGATTGCTTTTAAAATGAATGTGTGTCTATATGTTACAGTTCTACTTGTATGGGCAAACCTGGGAGTGGGCAGGGAGAGTCTGGGCCATTGTAAGGCATAAATGGGAGGATGGCAATCCTATTAGTCCTCCTGGAACCATCAGCACTGTTTAATACTGTAGAACATAACATCTTTTCAAACTGTCTGCATGTGTTATGAGTTAGGATGCCCTTTTACAGTGGTTCCATTCCTTTCTGAGTATATGTTTCCAACTACTAGAGTATGCTTAGACAGCCCTAGGGCATTCTAATATGGGGTGCTCTGGGGTAGACTTTCTCCCCTGTTTAGCATACACATTGAGCCACTTAGATAAGATTCTTCAATAATATGTGATAATATGTGGCATAATATCATCAGTATATATAGTCCCAATTTATTATTGTATTGCTTTAATTCATGAATACTGTAAGACTTACTGACTCTGTTGATCGTCCTCTGATTTGGTATGGTGCAGTTCCTCCTCCTTTTCTTCATTTTCCAATAATTTATTTACAGGTTCTTGTAAATTCTAAGCCAGCCATTAACACAAATGCAAAAGAATATACAAAGTCAGTAATAAAGAACGCTGATATTTTAAAATGTTTTGAGTAATCAAACTGTGTAAAACAAAAATATAGTACATTGAACAAAAAGAAACAGAATGCTTGTTGGCACAAGTAGTACAATAATTTGGCAAAATTATTGTATTACTAATAACTAAAACCAAAGGTGAATGCTCAGGAATAAGCAAAAATGCTTTATTTTGTATCAAAAATTCACAGGACAGATGTAATGTTAATTGCTTAGTTGTTGGAATATATTGAGTTGTGAGGTGTCCCAAAAGAGTCACAAGATATTTCATCCCTTCTTTTATGTGTAATCACATCACACTAATGATTACACTGGGTCTCATTAAATAGAATTAGATATGTCGGTCCAATTCAAAGTCCTGATTTTAACCATAAAGAAGATTACAATGCCTTAAATAATTTGGAAGTAGTATGTCAGAAAATAGCCTTTTCATATTACACACATTACCTCAAACTGACAATTCTTTATAAAAATTTAGTCCTGATCTGATGCAATGAAATCAGATTCAGGCACTCTCATTTTGTTCCTTGGTTATGAATTATGACTTCTAGATTCTTTTATTCAACATCATTTTGGCAACACAACAGATATAGATTTTTTAAATTCTTCCTGAATCTTTAAATCCTAGTTTAATATTGTGAGTTCCTGAATATTATATTTTAGTAGATTCTAAATACTGTAATGATATTTTTTGTTTTTTATAAATTATATTTTGTGTACTATGCTTCACAGAAAATACATAATAAAATAAAATGAAATTTGCAATACTGCTGTATTCTGATCTTAATGATTCTCAGAACATAAATATTAATCATGCTGGGGAGTATCATCTTCACTCCAAAAACATTCATGGTATTAAATAGTGCCACTGATTTAACTATAGCCCAGTATTATAGTGGGCTATAATTAAATCAATGGCACAATTTATCAGATTATATAGTGCCACAGAACTCTACCACTGTCTTTGAAAAGAAATGTATTGTTTGAACCCTTATGTAATGTTTGGTATTTATAAAATCAGCTAGTGACTGCTACTCTATGGACCAAACAGCATTATTGGGGATATATCATTTATTTATTTTTGGAAGAGTTATTTATTTTTAATATAAATTTCTACAGTTATTCAACTATTCAACTTATCTCTGACTTTGATAGAATCATGCTGCCATAAAAATGGACATTGCATTTCCAAGCTGCACGAAATAGTGTTTTCTTTTAACTCCCCTTTTTTGCTTTTCAATTCTTAAAACTAGTTTACCCGTTTAGTTATTCCTACTCTGATTCTGTAATCCAAAAATACAGTTCATAGATAGGTCTCCTGCCAATGTTCATTTGCATCTACCAAAGCAACACACAAAAGAGCAGAGACAAATATTTGCCTTATTTTTCTCATAGAGAAGAGTTTGGGGACCAGGGGTGGGTTCTACTTACCTCTGCTACCGGTTCACAATGGGAGCGTGCACTTGATTCTGTGCATGCGCAAATTGTTCATGATGACGTCTGGGCAGGTGGGTGGACTCTCCCGCCACTGTTACTACCGGTTCGCAAGAACCGGACTGAACTGGGAGCAACCCACTACTGTTGGGGACAACATGCACCCTCTCTAGTTTGTGGAAATTTACAGTTCTATTTCACAGCTGAAGAACCCATAGGAAAAAAGACCTTAAAACTAGAAACTAGCTTTGCCCACAGAACTTGGCATGCCATACAAAGCATGGCATTGTTTTCAAGCTAATGGACATTATACAACCATTTTAGTACTATGTTTCTGATTAAAATGCTTTTAAAAGAACATGGTTTGCCATTGTAATAATGTATAGAATTTCTATTTTTTGCAAAGACAATTACAATGTTACCTTATTTTTCTTTTTAAATGCTGTTATCAAGCTCATGAAATACTAAAGTTCATAGTAATCAAAGTAACAGGCAGTAAAATTTTATTTCACACATCTTAGCAATATCTATCACAGGACTTTTTATTTGGGGCAAAATTAAAGACAAGTCTTTTTTATACAGTACATTCTCAGCTTTTCAATTTCTATATAGTTTAGTGGACTAATTTACTAGTGGAGACAGAGCAGTCTTGCCAATTTAATTTTGATCTTTGTTTTGCTAACACAGCTGCTTGTACTTACATTACCCTTGATATTTTTAAATAGATTTGGTTAACAAATTTGCTATTTCATTTTCTAACTATTGCACTGGGCTTTCCTTGAAATACTGACATAAATTATAAACCTAACATATGCATGTTTCCCTAAAAATCATAATTATCATAGCTGGCAGTGTAAACTGTCTTTTGAAGAAAGGCTAGTTCCTCCTACACAGAATGATTTCTTATTATTTAGTATTATATTAGAATCACATTCTGCCTTTCCTCTGGAAACTCAAGACAATTTATACAGGGTCTTTCCTTATTTAAATCCACAAATTATTTGGTTATAGTAGTGCTAATTCTATGCAATTCATCTCTGGCATATGGTTTATGATATTAAAGTTTATGCTATTTACATATTAGGATTATTTTGAAAAATTGCTCTGTTACTCTGTTAATTGTCTTAGTATCCTTGCTGCATCTGAAGAAGTTGGTTTATGCTGCAAGGTTTATGCTAAATTAAGAGTTAGTCAAAGTAGAGTAAAGTAAAGTAAGGTAAGGTAAGGTAAGGTAAAGTAAAGTAAATTGCTTTAAAAGTAAAACAATACATGTTCAAGCATATAAAGAAAAATGCATCAAAATAATTCAGAAAGCAGTAAGGTCACAATGATATTCATTACTCTCTAAACGTAGGAAATGAGATAAATCTAAAATTAAATGGAAATTATTCCAAGTAGAACAAAAAGGTACTGCAATTATCATGCAAACAGCATAATATAAATATGTACAATACACTGTATTTCTTCATTTCTGCTATTTAGAGACAAACTAGCTGCTTATAAATATGGTTTATTATAAATTAAGCATATACGAGTAGCAATAATATAACAGGTGATAACTGTCACATAATATACAATTCATGGAAACAGTTTAAAAAAACAGGTATTATGATTAAAAAAGCTGTAAAAACAAAAACATTTTTCAGAATCTTTGTAGTTGGTATTATGTCTAATCGTACTTTGTTAAAGTCATTAATATATTTCTACCCCTTTTTTTGCAAGGTATATAACAATTGTCAATTGTCAAACACAACTCCTCCAATTCCCTTTTCCTTTTTGGAAAAAAATGGTGAAGCCTGCAGAAATCATGATTATGAACTTCAGGATTTGTCCAAAAGTTTCAGATTGTTAACATTCATGATAAATCACCCACTAGAAATAATTAAAATATCCAGCATAGAATATTTGCAAGGAAACTAGTTATTTTTAAATGCCCAACTTTAATTTACTTAAGAATGTATTCAGAAATGCCTGGTATTCTTATTTTCTAGATTGTATCTGATCCATTAAACTATCCCCCTTGCCTTTGTGCTTATAACATGGGAAAATAAGCTGTCTTCTTCACTTAGCATGTATCAATACATCAGAATTTGTCCTTCTAGGTAGCTCTGTTGGAGGTGTCAAAAATGTCAAGATGGCCGCACAACCATGTGTGATTGAGGTCAACCTGCCTCCCCCACCATGGCTCTGCTTCCAGATTCTATTCTCTGATTTTCAGGATATTTGCTACTCTAGTGCTAGTCCCCTCCTTTCAGCATCTAAAATATTCCATCTTATTTCTCTTTCTCCAATATCCCTTAGTATTTGATTGCTCTTTACTAGATGAATAGAAGAATAGAGGCAAAGACTTCAGAATTCTCAGAAGGGTGAAAGTAAGAAGGCAAAAGATCAGTGACAAAAGTCTACAGTACTAAGAAATATGTTAATATTTCTACTCTGCTTTGTTTCTCAGTTGTATTTTCATTCCCTGCTGCTAATTTAGTTTTACAACATTAGTAGAAAATTTATTTTTCTACAAGATACATTTTAAATAATTATTTTCATTTTAAAGAAGGTAAAAGAATTAACATTTTCAAAGCACTGGATAACCTCAAGCAAATAACCTCTTTCTCAACAGGATTCCATGATTTGTTAATGCATTCAAAATATTATCTCAAACATAAACTTGACTATCAGGAAAAACAGCTACAACTACTTTACTTCCACAATATACCCTGAAGTTAAGAAAATAATATTTTATCAGACTGTTCATTATCAGACTTTAGCAAAGCAAAGCTAACCTTCTAAAACAATCTTTTACTTCCAAATAAATCCTAAACACAGGAATCTTTCTGGATCTGGAGATAATGTTTTCCCATGAATAAATCACCAATTCTTAACAATGTTTTCTTTAAATAATATTATTAACTAAAATAGAAGAGTGGAAATAAACCTGTATTTCATTAAAGGCTACTTGATTAACTTAGATAGTGCAGCATAACCGCTTTGAGTTGCAGTGAGCGAATAGGTAGCAATATAAATTTTCCAAACAAACAAACAATACTAACTTTTTCTTAAAGAACAGGGGAAGGGAAAGAATATACTGTACAGCAAAATTTAGATCTTATATAAACTGTTATCAGAGTTCAATATTTATCTTTTCAAAAAAAGGATCAAACTTCACAAAGCTAGCATGGCATAAGAAATATATCGGAGATGAGGCAACTTGGGACACTCCAGAGGTGCTTTGATTGCAACACTTCATCCCTCATTCCTGGCCATGATTTGCTTATCCCTAATAATATCAGGCATAATAGTATTCCTTATTCAAAGACATAATCAATGAAGCTCAAGGCTAAACTAGATAATGTTTGCTGCTTTCTCCTTTAACTGCTTTTTAAAAGAATGGCATTTAACAAATAAGTTAATTCATAAGCATGCCACAATTATATTAGGCTTCTTGCTTCTAAATACGTTTTTTTTTAACATGAAAAAAAAATTCAAGATACAATTCCTGTGAGAAAATGGTAGTGGTTAAGAACACAGGAAACTCATTTTCCTCCTGCTATTTTCCTGTTTGAATTTTCAACCTATAAAGAATATTTTTCATTTAAAAAATTATAATGAATGATATATGTTATATACGACTGGATTGGACAATCTTCTGCTTGCTTCATATACTGTAATTTCAAAGGCAGAAAAGTATATTACATGCAAGCATTCCTCCTTTATCCTTATTTTCATATGCTCTCTTTCAATATTTCTTTCCTACTTTATGTAAAGCAAGAATTTCCTGTTATGTTTGAATTGGGGAATTACAATTTAGTTGTCACTGGAATCAATGCTTAGAAAGAAAAAATGAACCTATTTCTCTGTGGCCCTAACAAAAATCTTAACCAATCACATCTCTCTTTAATCTGTTGTTTTGTTCTTTTTCCATTTCGCTAATGAATTTAGGTTGATATCCATACCGAATAAGCAGCATCAAAGTTTCTGTGAACAGGCAGAACAAATAATGATCTTGCTAAATACCAGAAGTCCAAGATAGAATGAGACTTCACACTCCATAGCAAAGAAAGAGAAGCGGTTTAGATTGTGTATTTTGATAGATTAATAACTAGGTTCTATGGAAGACAATGTTGCCAAAATGGTTTATCTTCTACTTTCCCAATTAGGATAGTACTGTCAGGGTGGAAAGAGGAAGACAAAAGGAAGTTTATATCCCCCAAATTTGTTTTCTTCGCAATGCCAATGTGAAGCTATTCCCAATGATTAAAGCTTTCCTATACTGGTAATGCAATGACTGCCATACATAATAACCAATATTTCTAATATGCCACTATAAAAATCAGTGTGAATTTTTATCAGAAAATTATGGTACATAATTTTACATAAAAAAGGGAACAAAATAATTAGTGCCACTTCCTTACGGTATCTCAGCTTTGCGGTAAGCCAATGACTGGCAGAATTATAAAAGCAAGTAATAACATAGTTCAGAATGTTTATATAGTGACCCTCACAACAACAGTATTTTACAATAGATTTCATTTGTTAAGATCACACTATTAAAATAGCACTGTATAGGTTTAGGCAACTTTTCTTTACCTTCAACATAGTGAATTGGTATGGCTGATAACCTTTGAAACTTTCATGGATAGCTGCCATGGTATGAGATGTTTTTTCCCAAAAATGAAGAAGAGTTGTCTGTAATGGAAAGAAATATGATTCTCCAAATGACATCTAATAGTTAACATTTCTTGTGACATCCAACAAAAATTATCCACTGCAGACATTTTACTACATAAAGTTACCTCTCTGTCACAGAAAAACTACATGACTCCCATTCCTAAAAATAGCCCCTATGTTTTATAGATTCTTTCCTTATGAATACCTGGTATGTTGTAAGGACGTGAGACAGAAGATTACATCTACTTGCTCCAAGAAGATCCACTTTCTGACAGACATCAGTTTTCAATTTGTCAAAATTTAATTTTGTATGACGGACTTGTGCTTGGACCTATCAATATAAAGATTACTTGAAAGCATAAGAAATTCTTAAATATCAGATCATCCAAAATGCTTCCTTTCATTCCAAAATAACATTTAATTATATTAATTATATTTAATTAATCAAAATTGTATAATTATTTTGTATTATACACCTATTTTATTTTTAATATACTTATGACATCCTTCAATAAGAAGTTTTCACAGAGGCTAAATGGAGTTATTAGAAAATAAATATAACTTGTTGAGAAACAGTGTACAGTAGTTCTTAACTTCTTTATTCTTGGTAGAAAGAGAGAAAATCAGAATGTTCAAGAATCTGATGACTCTTAAGGGTGTGCCTTGCTGGCTAGCTGAGGACTCTTTTCTATAAACATTGCAATGTTATTTTTCCAGTAAAAAGCAAGGAGTAGAATTCAGGAAGGAAGTGAGAATTCAGACCAAAGGCTTCAAAATTGCTGGGAGAAAAATAATCAATAAGATAAATTTGGCAAGCAATTCAGCAAGGAACCCATGATTACATCCTTGAGGGATCTGTTACTTCTTTTTCAGTGATGTTTTGTTCTGTTTGGCATAGTTTTATATAGTATATATTACTAATCTCTATCTTTTTGTTATGATTGCTTCTGTTAACATACAGATTTCAACCCATTAACTTGAAAAAGCTAACACAGGTCTTTTACTTTGATATCTCCCCGAGTATAAACATGTTTGGAAGGGTATGGCGGGCTTGCATTGATATTTGTGTGATACAGATACCAAATTCTTCCTTGCTACAAATTCATGATTGTAATATCAGTAGACCCATTGGTTAAGTCTACGCTACTTGGATAGAATGGCCTGGGGAAAAAAAAAATCGTAAAAGGCAGGGCATGTAAGTAGTTTCTTTCCAGGCCATTTGCATCATTTCTGAAGCTAAACAGGAAAGAGGCATGATACTTGTTTGAAATATATTTATTTTTCCATCAACCTATTAGATACATATTTCAAATGAAACATTTTCACATAAGCCACCTCCAACTAAATTGAAAGAATCTCAAATGTTCTCCATTTAGACACTCCTGATTCTTTGGTGATCCTAGTAACATCAATCAGAGAAGAAGCATCTACTGCAGTAAAATATTAATATGGAATGTGATCATTTGGAAAATGCTTCTATTCAGATTGTACAAAATATCTATAATGTGTATAGTCAGTGGGTCAGTAAAATATTATGTGATAAAATGAATGATAGATGAATTGAACAGTGGGAAAAGGGGAAAATAAAAAAGATGAATGGAAAAATATAAAGAAACACACTTGTTGAATGCATACCAGTGGTGGGTTCCTCCTGGTTCCGCCGAGCTGGTAGCGGTGATGATATGATGTCACTGAACCGGTTCTACCCCCCCGCGTTATTCTTGCCTTTGATTTGGCCCCAGCCCCAATCTATTGCTGCCTCCTGAGTCCCAGCTGATCGGCTAGAGGGGAAAAAATTGTTTAAACTCTTGTTGGGGGGCTTCAAAGGGCCGCCCTACAGATGATCAGTGTAAAAAGAAAACAAATGAGTAGACCAGTGGTTCCCAAAGGGGGCGGTACCGCCCCCTGGGGGGCAGTGGGTTGCCTTAGGGGGGCGGTAAGAGGCAAGCAGGGGGGCAAAAGGGGCGGCGGGGGGCACTAAGTGGCAAGGAGGGTGGCCCCCGCTCTTTGGCCTGTGCAGTTATGTCTTTGCAAGCAAACAGCAAGGAAAAACAACTCCTTTCAGCTTCAGCATAGGCTAATTAGCTTGTTGATTAGATCGGCCTCCGGACTCTCAGCTGATTTGCTCTCAGCTGTTTTGCGCAGGGCTCTGCTGCTTGCTGCAAAGAGCTAAATTGCTGGAGCAGATTTTTTTTTCTCCTTGTGCAAATCAAGCTGAAAACTAAACTGAAAGTAAAGCAGGCTGTTGGCTTTGCTGTTTTCTGCAACGTTGGAAAATTAGGCAGAGGCAGATTTCTTTTCTTTTTCCTCACCAAAAAAGGTAGGTGTAAACAATGGGAAATTTAGGGCAAAAGAGGAGAGTTCAAAATTTTAAAACACAAAAGAAAAAAAGCTCTATTTAACTAGGGAATTGTAATAATTGAGATACTATTAATTGTATATTGTGTTGAAAGCAGAAATGGTTAAGTTGTGGTTTGGAGGAATATATGGGGGAAATTATTTGGTTTATTATTATTGATAAATATAATTTATTGATTTGTAAGAAATTGGATTGCATGGAAATAATTGGAATATCCATGTTCATATTGATTAATATACAAAAAAGATAGTTATATAACTAATCGATTTATATTAAAATGTTGAATTTGTATTAAACAACTGTAATATTACATAATTAACCAATGTGAGGATGGATATAAAAATAGATGACAATGGGAAGGGGCATAATATAGAATAGAAGGGAAAAATTGAATTTGATTAAGATTAGAGATAAGGATGAAGGGTAATATTGGTTTTTTTAAAAAATAGATGAGGAATAAATATGGCAAAAAGGAAATATAGAAATTGTAAATTTAATTGAAATGACTAAACACTGTTTAAATTTGTGAACCGGCCAAATACTCTGTTCAAAGAAAATACATTGTAGGTTTGTATGTGTGTTTCTAATTATTGCTATTTATTCATATTTGTTCTCTTTTATTCTTTAAACTTTAACAATTCATTCTTTATCTTAATATCTTTATATTTGCTTGGGGTTGGCTTTCTTCCCTTTCATCTTTTTTTTTGTACAGCAATCTTTCTCCTCAAACCTACTACCTTTCTCTTTTCTTTCCTTCTTACTTTCTCTTCCCTTCTTCTCTTCCCTACTTCCTCTTCCTTTCTCCTTCTCCTCCTCTCTTCCTCCCTCTCTTACCCTCACTCCTACTCTAATTTCCCTTCCCTTCCTTCCTCCCTTCTTTCTCCTCCCTTCTTCCATCTCTCTTCTCCTTCCTTCATCCCTCTCTATTGCTGTATTTATTTTCAATTTAATATTTTCCACTATGGAGTCCCCGGTCTTTCTTTCATTTATCAAGTATATTTCTCAAATTTTCCCCTCATCTTTTTAATTATTAGCAGTATATTTCATCTTATTCCATTTTTTCTATTGAACCCAGTGTAATCATCTTTATCTTTTTTTTCAATTATTTCCTTTTCAATATTATCTCCTTGTTTCTCTTGCTTCTCATTCATCTTTTCTCTTTCTTTTTTTTGCAAGCGAACCAATTCTCTGCTTCTTTATTTCCCTTAAATGCCTCCCTTACTTTTTGAAGCATCTCCCTTAGTGTCTCATATTCATCCTCCCAATTCTCCATATTTTCAATTTTAAAAGGCTAGGATTTTTAAGCTTATTCTTTTCATTTACATATGTGGGGGAGATGCTTTTCAAGGAGCCACAAGCGGGGCTGAGAGCAGAGTCATTCTGACAGTGTCTTTTAAAATTGCTTGGAAGACCCATTTTTTCCCTAACAAACCAGTATGGTTTGTATACTTTGGAATAAAACCTGGAAAAAGTACTTGCAAAACTTGGACAGAAGGAAAAGGTAAAGACAGGACTGGACTTTAAACTTGGACTTCTGGAATTAAAAGGCTCTGGATTAAATGGTACCCCAGACAAAAGATAGAGAAGAGTATCTTGCTTTTAGACATGATAATAGCTGTCTAGAAAGATGAATTATGAGCTATTTTTATGTCATCAGAAATTTAATTTATTACCTGTTAAAAATGTAAAGACAAGGAGTACAAGGAGCAAATAAAAGACTTTCATATTGGGGTTGTTTCTGGACCAAATCTTACTTGTGGGACAGAAACCAGCTCTCAGCCCTCCTTGGCTGACTTCTTGAAAAGCATCCCCCCCCTCACACGCTCCACCATCTTAGGAGGCAGGGGAAGGTTGCAGGTTGATCCCAAGGAGGTCTGGGGCTACTGGTCTATCAGTTAAAAGCCTGGTAGACCAGTACCTCTGCTAAATCCTAATGAATTGTCACATGACCATCAAACCACGCCCACAAAATAAGCCATGCCCACAGAACCGGTAGTAAAAAATTTAGAACCACCCCTGATGCATACTACTTTCTTCTAAACAGAGATGTTAAGACTTTCATTGTTACATGTCAAACTGCCCTTCTTTAAATAGAGCTTACTTTCAAGAAGTTGAATTAGGCACTGCAGCTTAAATACATAAATTTTAAGAAATTTTGGTCCAGTTCAAAGATTATCACTTTAAAGGAGATCTTACAATGGTTCCCCTTTCTATATCCCATAGCTCCTACCACTGGCTGTATTCTAATTTCAGAAAATCCCAAGAGAATTCACAGTAAAGGACAAATATTGGCAGAGTGGGTAGCTTTTTGGATACAAAAGATCTAATTAAATAGCCTCCTCAACCTACTCAAATGCTCCAGATCCGTGAGCAAATTTAGCATAACCACTTGATAGTTCTAAATGAATCCTTTATGATTGCTTGCAGTGGAAAAACAATAGTAAAACAAAACAAAATAGGAAGAGAATAAAAGATATGGCAGAAATTTTAAAAAGGCAGAGCGTGTCAATATTAGACTATTCTGATTTTGAAATAGGATTGTTCTCCATTCTTAAAACCAAGCTAAGTGGTTTACAACCTAACAGTAAAAATCTATCTACAAACAAAAAAGAGAAAAACCATATTTCTGGGGGAACTCTACCACCAAAGACACAGGACATAGAATTCTGGAGCACAGGTGGGGATGCTGCTCCACTGCAGGAAGAGACGTGAGCATCATTTTCCACTGATTCTTTTGGCCCAGTTTCACAACATCATGGTTAGTGACATTTGGGGCAGGGACCCTAGGGGCCACCAGAGACTCAGAAATAACAGCAGCCACCACCTTATCCTGCCCAGAAGTGACAGCTAGCGTTACATACAAAACCAGAAAAAGCATATTTCAGAAAGAGTAGATGCGTCTGGTCATGGATGAAGGTTGAACTAGCATTAAGTAATAGTTAGCTGGTGTCCAGAGCTGCTGAGGTTCTAGA